TGACTCGAAGGAATCAACAAATTCAAATGGTGTCAAAGGTATCCTATTTGTTCTTTCCTAACATTAATTTATTCTACTAGATTTAAGTGTAGGTGGTACCATATGTTTATCTCAGACAAAATATAAAAGTGAAACTTTTTCCTTAATTATTGTAATTTTAACTGATTAGTTCCCATCTGTGTCCGTAGATTGACCTCATAGTAGAAGAATCATATGAATTATATTAGGTAGTGTAATACATACCGATGACTAATGATCAAGAAAAAATTATGTACCAGTGTATGTGCATATAAATGTATGTCTACAGCATAGACTCACCTTTTTCATTTTGTATGTCAACTGCTATATGTGCAGATGAGAATCTTCCTGCATCAGATCCATCAGCAAAAGTTCAGATGCAAATGCCATGGCAGAACCAAATTCCTCCGTATATGTACAACTTTCATGGCCCAGCTCAACAGATGCCTTTTGCTGGCATGCATCCTTTACAATATTATCCAGCACATATGCAGTGGCCACAAAATGTAAATGGCTCCACAAATGGTTCTGTTAGGGACTCTCACAAACGGTCAAAGAAGAAGGAGAAATCCAAAGAACATGACAGTTCAGAAGATGATGAACAGACTGAGTCGAGTGCCTCTGATTCTGGAACTGATTCAGAGGAAGTTAGGAAGCATGAGAAAAAGCATTCTTCAAGGGAGAATTCACATGCTAAAAAGCACAAGAAGAAATCCTCAAAAACAGTTGTAATCCGCAACATCAATTATATCACTTCCAATAGAAAGAATGAGGAAAATGATGGATCTTCTTATGATTCATCTTCAGCTGAATCTCATTTACTCGATGAAGATTCTCTCAAAGAGCAGGTAGATGATGCTGTTGCAATACTGGAGAAACGTCGCAACTCAAAAGGACATAGGAACAAGAATAGAGGACATCAGAATCTTGATATAGAGAATGAATCAAATGGTTATAGCAACACAGACCTAAATGAGGGCATGTCACCTAAGTTATCTGAGAAAGCAAAAGGAAATAAGGCTTGGGATGCATTCCAGAATATTCTGATGAGTCGTGAGGAGGCAAGTATGAATGGAGCAAGTGACCAGCTACCTTTGGACTTCCAGGATGAAGGCTATGGGATCAAGAATTCTGGTGAGAAGGTCAGAAGAGACCATCTGACACCTGATGATTCTCTTCTCATGAGCAAAAATCATGAAGAAAATGGCACAAAGGTTAACATGGTAGATTTTGCCAATGGTGAGGATATGAGGCCAAGTTTGAAGAAAGGAGCTTCTGAAGATGTGCATCTTCTATTTTCGCACAAAGAACCATCAGGAGGCAATACATTGGGAACTCCATCTGATTTTGGTTCTGAATCCTCTGCTATTAGAAATAGTAATGGGGAAGATTGGTTTGTTGTCAACCACTCCGGCAGTTCAGAAACTCAAGAGGCTAGGCGAATAATATTTGACAATGACAGTAGCATGTCAACTCAGAAAAGTTCCTCTCAAGTCGAAAGTGAAAGAGCTGCTCCTATTGATGATTCTTTCATGGTACAGTCTCGACCATCTTTTGATGATCATTATGGCTCTCAGTGGAAAACAGACATTGGCATGGACGCAGACTTGGTTGCTGCAGCAAATGCTGAAAATGGTGATCCAGTTGCATCAAAAACCAAGCTTAGTACATCTGGGACCAGTCAACCTGATGACCTCTGTGTGGTGCTTGCAAGAGAACCTAGTTTGGATCCTCTTGAGGCATCTTGGCAACCAGAATTGGATTTTCAGATTGAAGCTTCTTTCATTCAAGTTGATAAAAAATCTCCTGCAGTTGAGGCAAAACCTCCTCCTACTGAAGAAACTGTTCCTGTGAAAGGTAAAAGCACAACTAAGAAGGATGGTCTTGCAAAGACCGGGAAAGATGCAAGGTCTAAAGTCTCCCCAGGATCTCTGTCAAGGAGCAGAATTGATGCCTTAGCAAAGAGCAAGAAGATGTCTCCTCCTCCTAACAAGCTGACAACCCAGAAGAGCAAATTAGATCGGGTACGACAATAACCAGTAACCTCATTTTTTCCGTTGTTTTTGCCTCCATTATTTTTGTCTTTCTTATAAATCATACATCCTCATTGTTTATATAGGACGAAGAAATGCGCAAGAGAATGGAAGAATTAGTGATCGAGAGGCAAAAAAGGATTGCAGAAAGAAGTGCAGCTAAGGGTTCATCCCCAGCAGCTTCCAAGAAAGGGCCAGCAGGAAGTAGAACAGCTTCAAAGATATCACCTTCATCCAAAGTTCACACATTTCCAGTGCAGGTCAAGCATTAAGGAGAACTCCATCAAGGAAAAGTATGATCCAACCTTAAAATATTTGATTGTTTTGCCGCGAAAATGGAACATCCACAACTCGCTGCTTTGTGTACATTGGATTATCCACAAATATATCTTGGAGAAATAAAATATTTTCGAGGAAAATTATAGATTCTTTCTTTACTAGGACAGCTCTGCTTGCTGGTTTGATGCAAGTTATTCCTTCTCATTTATTTAGACATTCATTTCCCATCATAAGATTTTGCCAGTATAGTTGATTGAGGCTTTATTATTATTTGTATACTGCTATTTGTTCATATGTTGTGTAAAGTTATTTGTAAATCTATCTGTGAGTTAAAACTTCTAATACCAAATCTTGTTTCTTTTTGCTGGATAAGTGAAGATAGGATTTGGTACTATGAACATCTGTCTTCCCATATTTATTATTGATTCACATAAGTTTTGTATTATCCTCACATTTTACCAGCCCTGTTAAATCAGTCACTTTTATTGTTGTTATCTACTCCTATATGTTCTTTACTTTCTTCTTTTTGTTTCTTTTATTGTTGTTATCAACTCCTATATATCAAGGTTTCAGCAGAATCAGTGCTTTGAATCGAACGATTATCCCTATGTATATGTGTAGTAACAAGTATAGACAGATTTAGATATACATTTTTCATATAGTCAATAATAAGTTTGTGGAAGCCTAGGAGCAGAGATTTTAGCCAGTGCGCACACAAAGGCACAACTGAAAAAGTTTGTGGAAGCCAATTCTTTGACAGGAGGATGTATGAAAGGGACAGCTGAAATCACAGGAATTGTCAAAGATTCCAGCTTCCATCTGTACATTTATTTATTAGTGCTTAATTACTTGAACTGTCTCTTTATTTTGATTTGGGGCAGGCATGTCCTATATCACAAGTCACCACTAAGACACAACAAAAAAAACTTCCCTCTTTTCATATATTTTTTTCAGTTTAATTTCTATTCAAGATCAAAGAACCAGTTGTTTGAATAATGTTAGTTTATTAGGTAAAGTACCAGTTGAACTTTTCAAAGTTCTTACTTGTCCAGTTGATTTACTATTCTTAATTTCAGTCCCATTCAGGGTCGCGTCGCACCAAACTTGTCGAGTGTGGGCTACCTCTCCTTTGCGAGCTATTGCATAGGAGTGGGGATTTTATCCTACGCGCACCCAAACAGAGGCGTATCTAGAGGGGGTGCCGTGGGGTTCACGTGAACCCATGCTCCCCTCTCTAGATCATATATAGTAGTGTTATATTTTTTAAAAAATATAACACTACTATATATGATCTAGAGAGGGGAGCATGGGTTCACGTGAACCCATGCTCCCCTCTCTAGATCATATATAGTAGTGTTATATTTTTTAAAAAATATTTAAATATAGATGTGTGAACCCATGTTCAAAGTATGATATAATAATGCGATGATGATTGAGTGCACTTCTCTAAGAGAGAGATGGAAATTTAAATCTTATATCTATCTTGTCTCTTTGAGTAACACTTTTCCAAGCGGTTATTAGTTACACTTTTGTCGTTTCAACTAATTTTTCTTTTGTTTTTTTTCTTTATTCTTTCAAAATTTTCAAGTGTGTTACAATGAGAATTCCTAAAAAATTTAGCATTATAATTTTTTATATAATTAAATCAAATGTGTATATTAAAATTTAAAACTAGTAGTATTATATATTTTGGACCTATAATTTTTAAACTTTAATGGTTCATATTACGAACTAAAAGTCAAATCGATCAAATTTATATTTAAGATACATTTTTCGTAATCGTGCACCCATCTACCCGAAATCCTGGATACGCCTCTGCACCCAAAGGGTAGCGACTGCGGGTTATCTTGTCATAAAAAAAAATCTATCCCAAATATGACATTATCATCCATAAAAGATAATTTTAACCTTATATATACAAAATAATTTTTCGATTAAAAAAATTTCAGATAAACCCCTTGTTTCCCTAGCTCCCTACCCTGAGGTTAGTATTACAATGAAAGTGAGGCATCTCATTGATAACTCTCACAATATTTTCACAATAAATCTGATTGTATAAATATCTTTTATACCGTTCACCCTTATTTATCGGGCATACACAACTAGTTGAGTGGCAAACATGTTTTAGATCACTAAAAGACCCCTGAATTTTAGGAGTTTAGATAAATTTTTATCTAGAAGTGTAACCATCAGATACAGCTCAAAGTCATCAAAACAAAGATAAAAACAACACATATTAACAAAAACCCAAAAATTTAGGGGTCATACACGGTTTGGCCTCAAAAAACCAAGAAAAATAATTTGAATAATTGACCTCCATTATTTTTTTTTATTTTTTTTTTGTGTTAACACTCTCTCTCTATTTTGTTAACAAAAGAGAGAAGAAGTGTTTGTCCATGTGATAAGTTGGATTAACCAATTTCCCAGTTGACTCCAGAGCTTGTTCATTATATTAATTATTCCTATTTTGCTCTGCACGTTATATGAGTCTTCTTTAATTTATCAATTTTCCTACAACTATTACTACATTATTTTTTAATCAATTCAACAAACAATTTTTAAATTTTTTTTTATAATATTGAATGCTCTTGTTCTTCTTCCTCCTCCAACATTCTTTTAATCATTTCTATTATTATATTGTTTTCATTCACCGTATTTTTGCGTCAGCAAATAATATTTCTGGTTTTTCTATTGTCAAAGTTGACCTGGTAAAATCATTTTTGTGTTTTTTTTCAATCTTGTATAAAACTTGGTATTTCTCATTAGAAATGGCCATTGGAGCATGCTTTGGTGTGCCTCCTTTCTTTTCACGCAGGAAGCATAGTACAATATTTCAGGTATTTTTTTTTCATTTTCTCTTAAATCTTTTGTTTATTTGTTGTTTGAACATGTTATGATCATCTTAAAAAGAATGTAAATTTATCTTAATTCTGCATTTCTCAATATTTGTAATAATTAATTCCATGCAAAAACACAAGAACTTAATCAATTTTCAAACTTGCATAAAAGCAATAAAACAATATATACAATCAAAGGATTTCTCCTCATAAAGGTTTTGAATTGATAACATATGATAAATCCTTGAGAAAACCTCAAAATGTTATAATCATATTGAAAAATATAAATGTTCTGTTAATTTGTGCATGAAAAATCCTAAATATACAAAAAGGCTAAATCCTACATTATATTTATCACAATCATATTCCATGCAAAACCTCAAAGGTAACCAGCCATGTTGAATTTAGAAGAAGATTTCTCCCAATATTTCCTTTTTGACTCAATGTTCCTTGTTTTTTTTAAAGGAAAAACCTAGTGATTAATGAATTGCATCATAGGATGAAACAGATCAAGAAGAGAAGGAAAAAAAAAGATTTAAGAGGAGAAGATTGCATACAACAATAAGGTGATATAAAACATGTTTTGATTAGAGAAAAAAACAGCCCATGCATATAATGATATTTGACAAAAACTAGTGAAGAAATAATTTGGACATATTGACTATGTATCTTGTCATATATGTGAATTATAATCTAAGAGCGAAGTAACATAGAAAATTGGGAACTTGGATATTATAGCATAATACTAATAGTAGTTGACGAACATTTGCAGGAAGAAGAGATGAAAGAGACAAAGAGAAGTCCTGTTATTGAAAAGAAGAGAACACCTCCCATAGCAGTATCAAAAAGCTTTAAATCCAAAGGTTCCACGGTTCGTAATTCATGTAGAGTAGCAGGGAACTTCATAATAATGACTGAGCTTCGGAACAAGATCCTTACCTTGAGAGACTTGCTTGATTTGTCCCCTTGTATTGGCTCCGCATCTGTAAATGAGGTACATTTCTGTTATTTGTCTTCAGGACACAAGCACAATAACATCAATCTGTGAAAGGTTTTAACTTATATATATTATGAAGTATAAATGAATGGTACACCATCAGAATACTCAAAATGGTTAATTAAACGCGATGTCAGTGTACAGAAGTTAAACTCTGAAATAAAAAGAGCAAAGCAGAATTTGGTAACCTCTGTGGTGAATTCTTTTTTTTTCCACAGCTGCTGATTTTGACGCTGAAAGATCTGCAACAACTGTATCCTACAATCAATCCATCTATTTCTTTGTCAAAAATTGATGAAGCACCGATGCAGCAGGTTACTATTTACTCAGCTGTATTGAGCATTACAAATTCAATGTTTGGCTATAGCGGATACACAGTTCACTGTGCTAACCAATTGTTATATTTCTCAGGCACTGCAATTCTTTTTTGATACTCTGATATCAATTGGGGAAATGTGGACAGGCAATGATGAGTGGATGGTCAAATGCAAGGAGGATTCATTCAGTAAACAAGACAATTTGGAACACTATGGTACGTCAAACAGTTTATTGCAACATCAAATAGATATGTTTTCCATCTATTATCCATCTCTGGACTCTTAAGTAAGATAATACTAATGATCTTTTCAATTACAACCAATTTAGGAGTGTTATTGCTCGATGATATGATTCATCTTGCTAGTGAAAGGATGTTCGATATGATGGATGAGGACGAGGACGAGGACGAGGATGAGGATGACCAGATAAGATATGAACGTCCATCATTCAACATGTTTGGGAGGGTTCTTTCTGAATCTTACTCAAGTGCCAAGTCCTCCCTCTCGAGCACTCCAGTGACCCCAACTTCAGTTCTCCCTGAGTTACGGAGCAAGAAGAATACAAAGGCATCATACTCTCCACCTCGTCTTCTGCCACTCAGGGTTCAAGCAGTTGGCAAGCTGAATCCTATTGATGTAAAGCACCTCTCTTTCCATATGTTCCCTAATGTAGCAGCTCAAGATTCAAATTTTGTTGTTCAATTAACAAGCTCAGTTAATGAACAAAAGTCAGATGTAGAGGTGAAGAAAAATTCTCAAGTGAAATCCAAAGATGATAAGGAATTTGGGCAAGATTGTGAAATGACAGACTTGCCAGATATTCTACTGACTAGTATGGATGTTGAATCAGAAAATAAAGGAACATGTAACACCGGGGCCGAAAATGATCTACTAGTGTCAGGACATGTTACCTTGGATGTGCTTTTACCTCCATCTCTTCCAGAACAAGGAGCAGGGCAACAATCACCACTCACTTTGTCGTTGAATGTCATAGACTCGCAAAAACCAACATCTACTCTGCAAATTTCTTTACTCACACCAGATGGAGACATATCATCGAACCAACCATCGACTTTTGCACCAGCAGCACCACAACCACCACCTCCACCCCCACCTCCCCCAGTACCCAATTCATCAGGGAATGCAGAAGGGTCAAGGCCTGCACCATTGTTAGCAAAACCAAATGGTTTTCCACAGCCTCCTCCTCCTCCTCCTACACATGACATCAGGGAAAGCAGTGGCACCTCCCCCACCCCCACCACCTCCCATGACATCAGGGAAAGCAGTGGCACCTCCCCCACCCCCACCACCTCCCATGACATCAGGGAAAGCAGTGGCACCTCCCCCACCCCCACCACCTCCCATGACATCAGGGAAAGCAGTGGCACCTCCCCCACCCCCACCACCTCCCATGACATCGGGAAATGTTATATCAGTTCCACCTCCACCCCCACCTCCCATGGGATCAAAGGTTACTGCTCCTCCTCCACCCCCTCCTCCCATGGGATCAAAGGCTATGGCACCTGCACCCCCACCTCCCATGGGATCAAAGGTTACTGCTCCTCCTCCACCCCCTCCTCCCATGGGATCAAAGGCTATGGCACCTGCACCCCCACCTCCCATGGGATCAAAGGTTACTGCTCCTCCTCCACCCCCTCCTCCCATGGGATCAAAGGCTATGGCACCTGCACCCCCACCTCCCATGGGATCAAAGGTTACTGCTCCTCCTCCACCCCCTCCTCCCATGGGATCAAAGGCTATGGCACCTGCACCCCCACCTCCACCAATGACTTCAAATGGAAGAATGCCAGCACCACCTCCACCCATGCCAATGGGAAAAGGAGGTGCACCTCCTCCACCACCAGGGTTTGCAGGTGCCAGGAGCCTAGGACCTAGGAAAGCAGCCACTAAATTGAAGAGATCATCACAAATGGGAAATCTTTATCGACTTCTCAAGGGAAAAGTTGAAGGATCTAGTTTAGATGGTAAATCAAAGGGAAGAAAGGGAAAATCTAGTGCTAGTGCACCAGCAGGAGGTAAGCAAGGAATGGCTGATGCATTAGCAGAGATGACAAAGAGGTAATATTATTGAGATCCTCCAACAGATTATTGAGTAGAGGTAAAACTTTCATATGTGTTAGACAAATATTTGAAAATTATGTCATATGTGTCTCAGGTCAGCATACCACCAACAAATCGAGGAGGATGTTAAAGTACATGCACAAACAATTAAGGAGATGAAAACAGCGATTTCCTCTTTCCAAACATCAGATATGTCTGAGCTAATCAAGTTCCACAAAACTGTAGAATCCAACCTAGAAAAACTAACGGATGAATCTCAGGTTTCATAATTATCTGTCGTATACATATTTCTCCATGATTCCCACTTCAGGATGTTGCCTTAAAGTAATTTTGATATAGGTGCTAGCAAGGTTTGAAGAATTTCCTACCAAGAAGTTGGAAGCATTGAGGATGGCCGCAGCACTTCACACCAAGTTAGATACAATAGCCAAAACTCTACAGAATTGGCCACTAGTACCACCTGTTGGACAACTTCTTGACAAAGCTGAGAATTACTTCAACAAGGTAGAAACTAAGTTCGCAGTTGAAAACTTCTCATGATGTAGTTGAAAACATCTCATGACACAACTTTTTATATTTCCATTAGTAGCTCTAACAAAAGGTTCTATCATCTAGATCAAAGGAGAAATGGACACATTGGAGCGGACAAAAGATGACGAATCCAAGAAATTTACAAGCCATAAAATCCACTTTGATTTTGGCATTCTTGTGCGTATCAAAGAATTGATGGTGGATGTTTCCTCCAACTGTATGGAACTGACTTTGAAGGTTAGCACAATGTAAAGCATGTAGCATATGTAGCATTTCTTACGAATTCACTAACCTTCACATTTTAGTGAACATCTTTTGAAGTAACACTTGAATTGAATCAGGAGCGGAGAGAAGCAAAGCAAAAGGAAAATGAAGGAACTACACCGAAAAATGATAGTAATAAAAAGGGATCAGCTAAACTTTTATGGAAGGCCTTCCAATTTGCATTCAGAGTCTATACTTTTGCTGGTGGGCAAGATGATCGTGCTGACATGTTGACAAGGGAATTGGCTCAAGAAATTGAGACAGATCCTAATCCAGAGACATAAAGTTTATAGTCATTTTTTCCACAAAAATAAAAAAAATCCAAAAAAAGAAGATCACTAGAGGTGTCAATATATAACGGCATTAATGCACATAGACGCTTTTAAGAGGTTTGAGCAATTAGTATAATGATGCTTTCCCTGGCAGGTGTTCTATAGATGTTTCTTGAGCTGTGATTTCATGCACATTTTTTGTCTGAGGAACGGAGAGAAGTGAGCTAAACTCTAGCTTTGCTCTACCACCTGCAATACATACAATATTTATATTACACCTTTGTGACTGGTTTTGTAGAATGTACATAACTTTTGTCTTTACTCTCAGATTATATAAGTATACGCGTGAATGACTATCTTCTTATGTATAGTCCATGTTTTTTCCTTGTTTCTGCATTTTGTAATAATGGCATACATCATTATTACTTACAATCATCTGATCTGCAAACTGATTACTAGGAATAATTAGTTATATTAGCATGTGAATAAGAACGTTGTTTCACACAATGTTTCTCATCTAACACATTATTTTCTGACTTAATAGTGAATGAATATGCAGGAAATTTATCCATCTCTTTCAATTTTCTCAATCCTTAACTATTGATTATTTTTTAATATCCATGTACAAGCAGAAATACATTATAGAGAGTAACTACACCTTCTGACTTTAACTCTTGAATCCGTCTCTGTGACCGTATATAGTACACAAGCAAAAGAGTTGAATATTTTGTAACATCAAATATAAGAGATTAAATTATAACCTACTACCCTGAATGCAAATTAGAAATCAGAATGCAACTAATTTCATGAAAAAATCAAAATAAAGCTCTTTAAAGCATAAAGACAAACACCTTGTGGGCTTCTTCGTTAGAAATCACATTCTTACTGGTACTACTAAGGTGGTTATTTAAAAGCCAGGATACTATAAAGAAAAGAATAAAACTTTCTTTACGTGCTATAGTGCATAAGAAAAGAACATTTATTTTTAATATAAGAATCACGTAAACATAAGCATGACTATTGGGACAGAGAGGGACACACCGGGGAAGACTCAGGCGAGCCAAATCCAGGATTTGAAAACTTCGATTGCATTAATATTATATTAATTTAGGCATTAGCAAAACTTTCAAAGACTACATGATCATGGGTTCGAATCCCTTATCTAGCAATTCTAATGTTATAAATAAGCCCCCTTTAAATTTAAAACTTAAAATAAAAATAATAAAATATGGTTCTACCGAGTTCACGAGGACAAATGAACATGCTGGTAGTACTACCAGCTATACCAAGTGCTATCTTATGCTTTCCATGGGACACTATTTATTACTATATTTAGTTTCTGTTAATTTCTCGAGATATATATACATAATTCTTTTCAAAGTTAATAGGTGCACGTGAAACTCACGTATACACATAGGTCTACCTCTGCATGCGACAGGACGAACAGGTGAAGCCTTATTTTTCAAAATGATCAAAAAGATGAATCGAAGTAGGTTTCAAAACATTATTTTTCAAAATGCTAGTAAACGGACAGAACACAGCAATTAGACAGGGCGGGTCATGGATTCCCTGCCCTAAGCCCCTAACTCGTCCTATTTACATCTCTAGCCAAGTAAAATGAAATGTAGAGAGTATAATTTTATACAAGTAGAGATCTTTTGGTAGTTACAAAAGAGACACCTTCCATGTATTCATTTTTACATAAGTTATAGTATAACATTTGTTACTCAGTTAAAAACTAAATTATTCATATCTAAAATTAATATGCTATTTGAATAGTAATTTAAAAATTTGCATAGCTAATAATATATATAAGTTATAAAAAAAAGTTATATATTATCTTATTCGGGATAAATAATAAAGTACTTCCTTTGTCTCTATTTACTTCTCCATTTTTTCTTTTTTTAACTTAGTCCAAAGGGTTTTCATGAAGGATTGTGGAATAGCCTTCTACTCGGACTTGAGATCCTTCCGCTGATTGGCAAATCACTGTCTTAAATAAAAGGAATGCACATATAGACACGACAATACTTAAGGGATGCGCTAAGGGGCAACAACTTTCACACAGCTGCTACGCCTTTGCTTTTTGCCTCTTATTTCAAACACAAGGAAAGCCTTGATCGATATATGAAAGATGCGCTCGGTAGTGAAGGAATGGAAAATCGTCAAGGATGCTTCTTTGCTGGCGAAACGAAGGGCTAAATTGTGAGAGTGATTCTCTGAGCCGGTCTAACAAATAAAAAAAGTACAATTTCTTTTTACTTATTATACCTTCAATTAATTACTTTAAAAAAAAGTAGAATTTCTTTAAAATATTTTTTTTAAAAATTTATCCATTTCATAATAATAAGGATAAAATGGTAAACTTACTATGTCAATAATTATTTTCTTAATAGGTCTGTCAATTCAAAAGTGGACAAGTAATTAGGTACCGATGAAGTAGTAAATAATTAATGACATAGTGAGTTTACCATTTTACTCCTATTAATTATGAAATGGATGAAAAGTTCTATATTTTTCTAAATAATTAGTCATTTAATTGAGGGTATAATAGAGAAAAATAATTTATCCTTTCTTGATTTGTCAAAATGGACAAGTAATTAGGGACACTATAAAAGGAAAAGTGGATAAGTAATTTGGGACAAAGAGAAGGGAGAGGGAGCAATAAATATGTATATACTTACAAGTTACAATCCAACTGCAGCATAGAATTTGAATATTAAAACTACATTGGTAAAAGGTAATGGAAAGTCCAACAGACGTGCTTTGATTCTTTAAAAAATAATTTCTACATAATCTCAGTGGACAATTACAATATCACTTCCTTTTTATGGCATCAAATATGACAAGGATACATGTGTATGCAAAAAGGTACACAATATATGATTATTTTTCTAAGATTTGCTCGAGTTGTACAAGTCTTCAACAAATTATATTATACTCATTTCCTTTCATATTACATGCGGGGCGAATTTATACGTTAAAAATGGGGCACGTGTGAATTTATTGTATTTTTTTTATAAAATTAGGTATTTTATGAATATAATTTTAAATTCGTATAATATTATTCTCTGGCATCGTACTATAAATTGGGTATTTGATTTATTTATCTTGAAAAAATTAGGGATCTACTTCCACTTTATTCATTTATTTTCTTAGCTTTTTTAGTGGCGTATGATTAATTTACTAAAATATTTTAATTAATTTACTAAAATAAACAAGTAAAAATGAAAAATATGTATTTTGAATATAGAAACCGAGTAAAATGAAACTTATGAATACATTTCAATTTATTTGAAGTTATACGAGAAATTTTACACAATACTTATATATTCCTCTCTTTTTTTTTTCCTCAGTCAAAACCAGACAAAATAAAAATAAAAATATCCAACTACTTTTCCTTCCTTTATTCCATGCAAACAGTTGATTACAATAGACATAAATCAGAAAACACCGTATCTCCACGAATTACACTGTCAAAATGCAACATTAATCAGAAAGAAACAGTAGGATACTAATTAAAGAAAATACATAAAAAAAAATGCTTAATTATTTGATTTAATTAAAATAACTTCTTGTTTTTCTTCTAATCCTCAAGCACAATCTTAACACCACCAATTTTAACAGCACCAGAACCATTCTTGGGTACAAAAGTCACCAACACATTCTCATCATTTTCAGCATCCAAATCCTCCAACAACTCAGTTATAGCTAATTTCAGCTTCGTTTTTCGTTTCGAATTTTTCTCACCTTTACCATGACTATGATGTGGTACGTTCACAAAACTTCCAACAAATTCAGCATTATCTGGTGAAACCAGTGTCTCATCTTCGTCATTAATCAACACATCAAACTTAACAAAAACATCACTCTCCACTTCTAACCCTTCAACAATTAAAATCTCTTCTTTTTCATTTTTCTCCTTTTTGTTCCTCTTCTTCTTGTTTGGCCTTTTCACCATCACTTTTATAACATGGTCAAGTTTCGTTGGGAATATTTCTTTTGGTCTAGGAAAATTCATAACATTACTATTATCATCAGCTGCTTTAGCTTCAACGAGCCTCCTTACGCTACTCAACGCCCGCGATACTCTAGGCGTTGGTCGCGAATTTATCCATGGATTCGTTACGTTTTGATAAACGTATCCGAGTTTGCTTGAATCCAACACATCACGAACCCTAATACGTACCATTTGTGCTTTTTCATCGTAAAATAAAAATGAAGTGTTTAGAAAATCAGGATCGGTGAAGTCTTGACGTCTACCACCTAGGGTTTTCCAAACAGTCCATAATCTATCGATATTTGAATGATGAGCATAGAAAATAGGGTCTCTAGCAGCTGAATAAAAATCTCCCATGTTTTCGAAATTGGCTTGGGTTCTATCACCGGTCCAAACATGAACCGCACCATGAGCCATGTTCTCGAGGGACCCAGCTCCACCGGGGACCCCACCAGCGCGGTAAGGGTCCCCGAGGAAAGTCTCGGGAGTTCTTCCGAGAGATACCATTTGTCTATACATATTTGTGAGATTTTGAGATGTTTGTTGAGCGTTACTTATGTTAGGATCGGTACCATTGAAGTCTAGATCGACCATAGTCGGAGGCTGATGCCTCCGATCTCTGAGTCGATCATAGAGAGAAGAGGTAGAGTTTGTGTACAATCCTGGCATACGCATGCCATCAGGATGATCCCAATTCCAAAATGGCATCGCGAAGGTAGGATCATTGATTAAACTTCCTAAGATTCTTTCGAAGAAATAGAGATAACAACGATGAAATGGAAGAAAAATCCAAGAGGAATGAACTTGGAGCTCTGAATTTGGGAACCCTAGTTGGTCATAAGCACCATCACAATAAGCACAATGAACATTTGCTTGTTGTTTGAAGCTACGTGGATCGTCGTCAGGAAGTTGCTTCATCAGCTGAATACCTCTGTTGAATTTCTCTATGTAGGCACTATCCACTGAATGAGCTGCTGGCCGTGTACGGAGTGCGGTGGATGATGGAAGCTGGAAGTCGATGATATTTCCGCTCATCGGAGGACAACAATTGACCGGTGCTGCACCTGTTAACATAATCGAGTGATTAAATAACTTTTCTTAAAGAGATATTGTTCGTATATATAGTATAATTAATTAAAATAAAGGTATGACTTTTCATAGAAAGACTAAATGAACAAACATCATGTTCATTTCACTTTTAAAATCATTTTTTTTTCTTTTGATCAATGTGCATGTGGGACAATCGTACTTTAATTTATTATATACATATATATTACAAACTATCTAACGATAGCGTACCTGGTGGCAAGTCTGCGGCCCCACATTTGGTAACGTCGGGTCCGTTCACCGGAGCGGCGAGGGCAAAGGGGAGACCACCAACAAGAGTAGAAGCACCATAAAGACCTCCTAAACCAAGTAGAACGTTTCTTCTATCGATCATATTGTTTAAAGAATCGTTCTTTTTAGAAATGTCGATGGGTGAGTTATTGTGTTCATGACTATTATCATCTATGGTTTTGCATGAGACTTGGAAATTACGATGGACATTATGCTTTCTAATGGAGGAAATTTTTGATGTTTTTGCAAAGAAAGGAGAAGAATGCAAGTTGGAAAAAGTGGTGGTGGTTGAAGAAGAGAGAGTATTGGTAGTGGGAAGTGGAATGGAAGACATTTTTTTGCTTGTTTGAGATGTATTCATGAACATCTAGGGCTAGCATTTATATAGAATAATATGGAGCAAGCTAAGGACTTTTCTTTGTAATTACCTTGTGAGGAAGAATAAAAAACCATAATAATCTCCATCATTTCCAACTCATCGTTCAACTTGTCGAGAATATAATTAACTAATAAATGTATATTTTCAACTCGTGAACATCATAAATATTGCATCATTATAAATAGTAATGTGTCCACGTGAGCACATAGATACCTTTAAAATACACTATTAAATAGTGCAGAGGTAAAAGGTCCTTTCCAAAGTTCGGTATCGTAACAACAAGTAGTGGGAAGTGGAATGGAAGACATTTTTTTGCTTGTTTGAGATGTATTCATGAACATCTAGGGCTAGCATTTATATAGAATAATATGGAGCAAGCTAAGGACTTTTCTTTGTAATTACCTTGTGAGGAAGAATAAAAAACCATAATAATCTCCATCATTTCCAACTCATCGTTCAACTTGTCGAGAATATAATTAACTAATAAATGTATATTTTCAACTCGTGAACATCATAAATATTGCATCATTATAAATAGTAATGTGTCCACGTGAGCACATAGATACCTTTAAAATACACTATTAAATAGTGCAGAGGTAAAAGGTCCTTTCCAAAGTTCGGTATTGTTACAGCAATTTCGATCAAAGTTCAGAGATATTTCAAACCTTTTTTCCCTCTTTAATACTTAATCTTTTCGGTTAGATGATTATACATGTCCTGTGATCGAATCTCATCTCCATCTATATTAAAAAGAATCAAGGGATCTCTCTCATAGTGAATTCACGTGCTTAAAAATAAACAATATTAATAAAGTGTAGATTTATTGAAGAGAGATGAGGTAAATTAGTCGAAAAGTTACTTTTATTATTTATAAATTAGGGTGTAATATAAAATTAATCCACTTTAGTACAAGTTGTCGTTAGAGTCTTAATTTATTTACAGCAACACGAATAATGACTCATACTGGTATTGTCTCCTTCTAGATATAGCTGATTATTACTTACTTTAAAAGAAACTAAATGACTTTCAACGATTGTTCTGCCGAGTCAAAATTTAATTTGCTTAGACTTTTATTTATTTATTAGTTTAAAGGAAATTAATGACTTAATTTCAAATATTGTCTGGCGTGTCAAAATTTAATTTGCTTAGACTTTTAATTTTTTTATTTACAAGTTGGAATGCAATCTCAAGAGGAAGTAGCTGATGAAGCTTCAAAGCCTCAATATATTATTCAACATGTAATAGATATTGCTTAACCGATTTCGAATTGAAGAATACTTGACGAGGTCTTTACTCGCTTCGTCCCATTGTCATCCCTAGGTAAGGAGCGCTTCACTGGCCTTATGCAGCACGAATTTGAAATGCTCCAATGCGGATATCAGACATCAAATTGAAAAACAAAAAAAATTGCTTAACCAATATTATATATATTATATTGTTCAACAGGTATATATTGCAAATCACATAAATTGAAATTAATTAATATTGATTAATATATCATGTTTACATTATTTCGGGGTTTGGCTAATTATAAAATGCAAGACGTGCCTTAACAAGACATCAACCGACCATTCCAGTGATAAAGAATTAAATAGGAAATAGTTTAATTAATTATTTTAATAACCACAATCTAATTAACAAAGATATCCTTATCTTTCTCCAATACTGTCCAAGACAAGTGAATTAGTTGCAAGTTAATTAATTAATTATTAGTGGCTGCTGCTAAAAATCAAAACCCTAGCAACGGATAAGAAAACTACTTATGGATTTCAAAAAAACAATAATTAGTCTTTAAGGACAAATTAAATGGAAATAAAACAATTAACTTTATCTTGAACTTCTAAATTAACAAATAATATGAAACAATTATTCTTACTTCTTAGAAATCATGATAGATGGATAATTTGAGACAAAGAAAATATAATTTATATGATATAATTTTATTTAATATGGAGTTTTAAGTAAAAGGGAGACTTGTAAAAATTTTGAGGCTTTAAACTTTTGAAACTTAAATTTATCAAAATTTTCTTCCACCATCCATGTTTGACTTGGCACATTGTCCATGTTTATTTGTCTATGTTTGATTGTCTAATTCCTTTATGTATTTATTGAGATTCACATAAAAGGATTAACTCGACACATCCTTTTGAAGCAAAAATAAAGTAATTTTATTATATCATTTTTAATTATTTTAAGTCATCTAAATGTTAAAAATAAACACTAGAACTTAATAATAAAAGGTAATGTAGTATATATATAAAAAATAACAATAAACATATATTTTTAATTAATATAATTAATAAGTAAAAATAAACGGATGAAGTATAGTATATACTCTACCATTCTAAATAATTGATCCTATATGCAAGCTTTATCCAATTTAAACACGAAAAAGTAGGTAACGGTGGCTTTTAATAGATAGTCTTTTAAGTGCGTGTTCATGATGATATCTACGATATAAATAATTATTGCTTTCTTCAGCTTAATCGATGTTTAATTTTCTCCTTCTTCTAAAAATGTCCCCACATTAATTATATGGAGATGTAATTATAATGTTCGTAACCTGACATTAGCATGCACATGTACTTATAATTTCAGATCAATATAGGTGAATTCACTTCAACATGTAATTATTTGTAATATATATATATATATATATATATATATATATATTGAATTAATCGATGATCATAGAAGTAAAACAGATAACTTTTACTAAGTACTAACATATGTTATAATACATATATAACATAAAATTTATTTATACCGTCCATATATATAAGTTGAATAATCCTGCAAAGAAAATACCAAAACGATAACCTAATAGGCTAAAACTATTCTAAAAGATCTTAGACCAAACTGTCAAATATTCAAAAGGTTGCGTTTAAGAAAAGCGTTACCATTATTTTTTCAAACACTTGAATTGTGACCAGTTGTTATTATGATTTCTATTTTATATAATATAAATATAGTTAATGGAAAGACGAAGTGCACGTTCTTTTATGCTTTTAGTCAACAACTAAGATTTACCAACTAATAAATAAATTAATCAAGTTCATCTTCTTCCAACTTGTTTGTCTTAAATATTAAAAATACTAATATGATATTGGATAAATGACAGAAATCAGATCACAAAAGTTTAGTAAATTAAAGGTTGAATATATATTAACATATAAATTTCAAAATTCTACAATTGTTTATTATTTTTCATTTTTTTAGTTAATCAAAGTGACAAGTAATGATACTAGCTAGCTTAACTATCGTTTGAGTTTTTAAGTTTTCAACATATTCGAGTTTACACATAATGCCAATAGTATCTTCAAATAAGGATATAAGGATATGCTCATTAATTATTCCCTCTCTCTCTCTCTCTCTCTCTCTCTCTCTCTCTCTCTCTCTCTCTATATATATATATATATATATATATATATTAAGGTCTTACATTCACCTTGTTACATTATTCAAATATTTTACTAGCTAGGTTTATTTTGGGGTTAAAAGGACAGAATATTAAAAATAAAATAATATGCATCGTAACAAAATATTGGGTCATCGTGTGGACGGACAAAGTGTTCTGGATTGGAGCATGAACTATATTCTAGATACTAGTCGATATTGTTTACTCTCCGTTCATTTTTACTTGTTTAATATATTAAGAATATATTATTTTCATGACTTTTACTTATCACATATTAGTATACTAACAGAACATTTTTTTCCTTTCATATTTTACTTTTAATATTAACTACTTAATTTTTAAATCATTTTTCAAGACTTAAAACTAAACATTAATTGTGATAAAAATAATCAGGTCAATTATTATTTCTCTACCACTAGGCATGCAAAATTCAAACTAATTAAGTGAACGGATGAGTAGTTCTTAGCTAGCATTTATATGTGTCACCTAAAGTTAGGTTTTATCATTGAATTCTCAAGTCATTAAGGATAAAAACTTTTATTAGACTATTTAACCCCTCATTACACCTAGAGTTAAGAACGTTTTTAATTGCTAATTAAAATGAATGCTTTGAGTAGGGGTGTTTGTGGTTCGGTTATTGATTAAAATCAAACCAATCTAGTCGGTTTTTTAAATTTCTAAAACCAAATTAAACCAAATGAAAAAAATAACCGCCGGTTTGGTTAAATTTTTCTGGTTTATTCTTGAAATTAATATTTTTTTCTAGTACGTATCTCGATAGACACAAGGACCAAGTACATGAACAATCAACAGAAAAGCTATTGTCGGTTCAATTAAGCAATTAAGCAACACTAGAGTTATCATTATACGAACAAAGTGAGTCAATTAAGAAAAAGTGTGACTATTTTATGTGAAGTAGGGTAGGTAAAAATTAAAATGGATTTTAATAGACTTGGACTTAGGATTGTTATAGTTGGGCTTGAGAAAATGGTAGAGTTAAAGACCTAAGTTAAGTACAATTTAACAAAATATTTATATTTTATTTATGAATAATCATATATATATATAAAGGAGAAACATAGACAAGGCGATGTGACACTTCTCTATGATCTCCATTCTTATTTATCTTTTATCTCCTATTTTTGACTTTTTTTAATTTCTTCAATTATTTTATTTTGTAAAAGCATCCCCTTAACTCATAGTTCCTTAATAAATAAAATCATAACTTTCAAACTTTTCATATTCATAACTTTCAATTATTTAATGTACAAATTTGTAACATCATAAAATCATTTTTTTTAGGTATATATTCATCCCACTATAATTGTCTTCTTTATTAGAGTTTATAATACAAATTCATGTATTTTTCTACCTTGAATTTTTATAATTCTTAATTAAATTTAATTGATGTGGAGTAATAACATGTTAAAAGATGGGAGATTAAATTTTTATTTTTTATAATTAAAAAAATATTAATTCAATTCAATCAACTTTTTACCTCCCATTATAATTACCTTCTTAATTGGAGATTTTATATGATTCATCCACTTTTAATTTTATATTTTTTAATTAAT